CTTCCGATCTGGTTATCAAACTTGCTTGGTAAAATGGTGTGTCAAATGACAAGTTTAACGGAATTTGGTAATTTGCATATTTCTTTGAAATAAAAGGATATTTTGCCAAAAAAACTATCCAGTAGTTTTTGTCATGCCCTAGCCTATCTAACATGAAAATATGAGCGAAATCGAATTTTCGACCCTTGCCGAGTTATTTTCCATTTTTATGGACAGGGACTCTTAAGACCGCTAATTTTTAGCCTCAACTCAAAAAGCTATTGGGCCGGTTTTCAGTCATGTTGTTACTTTCATTATTCCTTTCTCTCGAATCACCATGCGTGCTATCTACATTTCTGTATATCATGAATTCAAAAAACGCGGCCGGATTCAGTGCTCTAGTCGCTCCAAGTTGAAAAGTATCGTTAATCAAATTAGAGCCGCCTTAAGACAAAGCAAGCAAAGATCACTCGGATCATGACGCATCACAGAAACCGATGAATGAGGATGAATCCACACCGCAAAATGATCCGAGTGATCCTAAACCGGATCATCGAAGAGGAACGCACCCTTATTTATCTATGATATTACTTTGCCTCCAAGAGTTTAAAATGTAATACAATTATCTTTATCTAGACTTTAATTCAATGGAAAACACAGGCTCTGCCCTTAATCAAACATCGAAGTCTTACATAAAGTTCTAAACAGACATCTTACCTTGAAATGCCAAAGTGATCGTACTGGGTAACGGCGAGGCAAGCTTGAGGACATCTTTACAATAAAACACCAAATTCACTGTCACGCCATAGAATGTGAGGCGCTCACAAAGCTCCACAAATAAAATACAAAGAACAACAAGATATCTTTTTCTTCTTGATGCTGGTTCCCTCAAACGATATTTTGAGATAGCGTTCTTTGCATCTGCGTGTTCATCGGGGATTAGAGAGAGTTCATCATCGTGTTTGCGAGATACCATTTTGCCTGCAGGAAACAAAAAGTATAATGTAACTAGTGTAGGTCGTGTTGCGTTGTTTACAGTGGGATCCAGATTTTTCGACTCTTCAAACCAAGTCTTTTCCCTCCGCTCAGTCCAACACTAATTTTACCGCTGGATTTCTCGAACTACCTGATTTTTCAAACCAATTCTTGTTCCTCTTGGAGTTTCGAAAAGCCGAGATTCCACTGTGCGTGTGGAGTCAATTTTGTTCTGCATTCAGTCTGGTTGCTACAGTCCAATGAACTGATCGATTCAGCAGTTTCGGATACAATCAGCTGAGCGGAACTGAGTCCTCGAATTTCTCATAGCTCGCCGAAGCACGTTCAGACCTCTTCTGTTTTCCGCGTCATTTGAATCCATGCCAAGAACGAAGAAAAAGAAAAGAAAAGAACTATCCAATTCAAGGCTAACCGATGTGCCTTTAATAGCTTTAAAATGAAACAAGGTAAGATCATTGACATTATTTACGAATCACGAAGAACATAAACAGTTAACTGAAGTGGAATCCCACGTTTTATGTGAAATGAAAGGTGAGCGAAAGCTAGTATCGTACCACGAAACTAAATATTTTTCAAAAGATAAGAATGACGCATCACTCACGCATAATACTGAGTAGAAAGATTCCAACTTGTGCTACAAACGAAATTCAGTAATATGAATTCAATGGAGGAAGACGATACAAATATTGGCTTAGGAGCCGGAAATATGGATGCGAAAGGTTTAAGAAAGAGAACTGTCGTTACATTACGACAGATTCTTACCTTCGAGCTTTCAGGGCCGGCGTTTCGAATGAAACAGTCTTGTCATACGTCACAAAACGATGCGATTCTGCCTGAAATCTTTTCGAGTGCTTTACTTTAGATCACGTGAGGAATGGTTTGAGGGACATTGCTTACGCACATGTTTGCCAGGGGCATTACAGGTCAAACGTAGCGTGTTCCCCATTTTTATACCGGATAATGACGCAGTACTTGTTGTTAAAGGGTACGGTTTAAATTAAGGACATTGTGTATCTATCAATATGCCAGAGAGCACTTAACAGACACAAGAAAGGAGAGACCATCTTTTCATGGCGGGAAGATCACACTTTTCGGCCATCCGGGAATCTCTGAATACGGGTTTGACAAATAAGGGCATGTCACGCAACATGCCACAGTTTAGGCATATAATTTTGCCGAAATAAGATGCAAACAGCAGCAACAAACATAACACATTTAAAGAAAACACTGCTTCTAAATGGTTACCCGAAAGGCACAATTTCCTTAAGTATGAATGATGTCTTAAACAAGCATAGGAACAGACCTTCCGAAACTGTTACCACGGTTCCCAAGAGAGATGTAATCCTTGTGTTTCCTTATTTAGGTTTCCGAAGCGAAGTTTTTAAACGCCGTCCTAAATCTTGTGTTAATAAATTTTTTGGTTTCGTCAATCTTAGGTTGATTCTTCAGAACACGTGCCGAGTTAAGTTCTTTTTTTCCTTACAAAGATCGTTTAAATCGCTCGCAAAAATCTAAAGTCGTATACAAAGCCAGCTGCTGGGATTGTGACGCTTTCTATATCGGCAAAACA